TTAGCCCTGAGGTTTGGGGTTGAACCAAACCCACCTCTGACACACCCCAAAGCGTAGTGGGGTGTGTCAGAGGTGGGTTTGTGCCTATCCCTGGTCCCAGTTATTTCCCAGCTGTGGACTACAGGCAAGAGACTTGATGGCACCGGTCTCAGTTTCTTCATCGGCCAGATGGAGAGGTAAGCCCCGTCCAGCACGTGCCAGAGTCTGGTGAGAGTGGGAAGACACAGGGGAGAGAGCTTGGGAGGTCCTGTTGCAGCCAGCACAGCACATCGAACTTCAGAGTCCATCCCCGAGAAGTCAACGTGGAAAGACCCTCTAGAAATCCTGCAAAAACTCCTTTGTTATTTTAATAAAGCAAGACATCTCCCAGAACCCACACCCCCTTCTCTTTTTAGTCTTGTCAATTCCACCTCAATTCAGGCTGGGAGACTGTTGGGTCCAACACTGTCTTCTCCCCTGTTCAGAACCCCAACTTACAAAGCCTCTTTCCTCTCCGGCACGGGGTCAGGTCTCTCCCATCTCCCCACCCCCGACACCTGTTCATTCCAGACTCAGCGAGCACAGGCTTGGCTGAACAATCTGTGCTCATGCAAAGCCGCAGAGGTGAATGAGACCTAGGTCCCTGGCCCTGACATTGATCTCTTGGTGTGACTGTCACCTTTCTGGACATTTCTCTCACCCCTGTCCTCTACTCAGGAAGACATTATACTTCTGTCTGTACTTCATCTGAGCCTAAAGAGAACGTTGGCTCCAAGAAAAGGGATTTTCAACCCTAATGAGCACGTGAGAAGTGAACAGGGGCGGGGGTGATTTGGGGAAAGAGTTCCACCCTCTGCCACGTATTTTGTAGATATATACAGTAGATATAGTTTTTAGACAGCTTTCATTGAGGTTTAATTGATATACAAAAACTGCACATATTTAACATATACGATTTGATGAGTTTGTACCTATGCAAACACCTGCGAAATGACCCACAATCAAGGTAATAGACATCTCCATCACCTCCAAATGCTTTGTTGGTGCTGTCTTTTGTTGTTGTTGTTGTTGTTGTTTGTTTTTGTTGTTGCACTATAAGAACTTAAAATGAAATCTACCATCTTAACAAACATCTGGTTGCACAATATGGTATTAACTATGGGCACTCTGCTGTACATAGATTTTATTCTATTAAACCTCACAATAACTATGGAAGGTAGGTTTTCATTCCCATTTTACAGATGAGAATTCCAAGGCTTAAAGAGGTTAAAATTTTGCCCAAAGCCATACAGTGAGTTGATAGAAGAGCTGGGATACACATTATAGTTTGTCTGAGTTTTTAAGCCCAGGCTGTTCTTATTACGTTAGATTGTCTCCTCTATTCTGTCTGCCCTGGTGCCCTTCTGGTTGAGCTGGAGTCCTTCAAATGCTCAGGAGGCAAGACTCAGAGGAAGACTTCTGAACAACAATCAGGGGACACTGTGGTTTCAGCTCACACACTCCAGAATGAGAGAGTGATAACAGCACCTGAACTAGATTATCTGCATGGGGTCTGTAACCCAGAGGGTGCCAGGATGGGTCCTGCAATGACTACCTTGCTGAGCTTCCAGGAGCCCTGGGAGATATAGAAGCCTCTGCATGTCGAGTGATAAATGGACTACTTGCCCAAACCCTATCCTGTTGGAGTGCCCAGCGGGAACCCAGACAGGTGTGTGAGAGCAAGAGATGGAAGAAGACAGGGTTTCAGCTACTGGTTTGAAAAAGTCCTGAAGTCCTTGCTCACACATCCAACCTGGAAGCTTTCCTGCTCCCTGCCTCTCTCCCCATTCCACACCATGTCTAAGTGATGCCATTGGTCGCTTCTTATTCTGCTTATACCTGTTCTTTTTTGACCTGATTTTCCCTAGAAACCAATGAAGAGTGTCCAGTGTACAGTGGTGGAAAGGGAACTGGGTTTGAATCCAGATTCTCATTAGCCAGATGAATGCAAACAAAGGATTTTACTTTTAGGAGTCTCAATTTTGTCACCTGGGCAAAATAGAAAATGATACCTAGAGGGACTGTTGGGGGTATCAGATAAGGCAGTGGATGCAAAGGTGTCTAGCATGATGCCTGGGACACAGCAAATACCCACTGAATACTTGGCAGATGAATGAATTAAGGCCCAACAAATGTTAATCACTCCAGACTTCATGGTTGGCGCTGCCCTTACTACTTAGGAAAATGAGTCAGGATCCTCTTAGGTAGGTCTCAGGTATGTCATTAAATCCCAGGGCAAGCTACCAGCTAAAGGTCCCCTGCTGTTGCAGGCATTGTCATCAGAGGGAGGTGACTCGGCCTCTGCTGTGGGCTTCCTTTTTTCTTCTCTCTCTCTCTCTCTCTCTCTCTCTCTCTCTGTGTGTGTGTGTGTGTGTGTGTTGGAGGGTTGAGGAGGGAGAGGGGGAGAGAGAATCTTAAGCAGGCGCCATATCCAGTGCAGAACCCGATGTGGGGCTCAATCTCACAATCCTGAGATCATGACCTGAGCCAAAATCAAGAATCGGATGCTCAACCGACTGAGCCACTGAGGCGCCCCTCTCCTATGGGCTGCTGCACAAAGAATCTGGGTGGCTACTGGCTTGTCTACCATAGCTTTTGAGGGTAACTAGACCCTTAGTCTTGTCTCTGAGTGTCTGGACTCGTGGAGAGAAAAGTGGCACTGTTTATGGAGATACATGTGAGAGCCAAGTGAAAGCCCAGCATGTCTCTTCCCTCTCCACTCTTCCTTTTGGCAGAGTTATTTCACTTTCCTTGGAACACTGGCTTGGTAGCCTCCTCTACCTACTTGTGGTAGAGGTGGACATGAAGACGGGTAGGCAAGAAAAGAGTCTGGAGCGCCCCCTCCTGGGGCTGGGTGGCCTAGTAGTTTCTGGCTGATTGACCTGCCAGATTGCTGCTGTCTTCCATCTCCTTGCTGAAATCCTTCCTCTCTAACTGGAGACCACAGGTAGAACCGGGTCTAAGAAAGCTAGGGAGTTGCTGAGCACGCCAAGGTCCCAGGGAGGTCCACTGGCAACCCCTGGTCTCTTGGGTAGCCCCTTCCTCTCTGCTCCGCCAATGGAAAGAAGCAGGTGGTCCTACTGCAAACACATCCTACAGTCTGCCTTATAGCTATGCATTTTTCCCTCTTAAGGAATTCTAAATGTTAGCAGGGTCCATATGCTGTAATTCAGAGACATTTAATGTCATTTGTTTAGCATTAAATGATACTTTTTATACTGTAAACTCCATTCTCTGACATCAGGCATGTAACCACCTGCCTCAAGCCATTCCTTTCCAGAGTTATTGACCAGGAGAGGATGCCACAGAGCATTCAGCATCTCCCTAGAGAAGGAACCTCTCCCATTTCCTCTGTGCCAGATGTTCATTCTGAATGTTTGCATACATCTAGTGATGGGGAGCTCACTGTTTCCCCAGGAAGCCCATCCAATGGCTGGCAACTCTATTCACTAGAAAGTTTTCCCCATTTTTTGAGCTGCAATCCATCTTCTTGAAACTACACCCCTGGATTTGGTTCTTACCTTTGGCCACACAGAACACAGGTTTGCTTCTTTGGGACAAGAAGAATGTCCAAGATGGTCTTTCCACTTTTTTAGAGATTGTGATCTCACTTTCCTACCCCCACTCCCTCTCATCTTTCATCTCAGGGATAAACAGCACATCTCCTCCTCCCTTTCCAATGGTAAATGATTTGCAGACGCCTCACCATGTTGATGACATCCCAAAGAACACAGCTCACTTTTACTGCTCACCCTTGCTGACGTTTCCCAGACCCACATCACAACTACAATGAGGCAGGTATCACTATCACCATCTTATAGGAGGTAACTGAAATTCAGACAGGTTGAGTAACTTGCCCAAGATCACACAGATATTAAAAGACAGAACCAGGGGTCTGAATGCAGAGTAAGAACCCAGAGGTGCCTGGGTTCCAGTCCTTGGTTTTAATCTGCTAGCATACCTAGGACTTGTGAGGCCTGTGATCCACTTAATGAATGCAGTTTTTACAGTGGGGCCTAAATATGGCCCCAACATTATGGAAATGGTCTGACCAGGGAAGCTAGACCTGGACTGTCACTGTGCCTGACTTATGCAGTCTGCCTCTCTCCCTGCTGCCTCAAGAGATGCTATCATTTCTGAAAGCCTTGCCAGGCTCTTGGCTCATGTGGAGCTGGTTACACTCAGCTCATCTCCCCAGGACTCTGACACAGGAACTGCTGGAAAGTCAGGTCTTGACTGTTCTTCCTTATCCCTGATGACAGAGTCCCTGACAGCAACGTGCGAGTCACACCAAATTTGGGTTGGCTGGTTCGTTCCTGTGGGAGTGGAAGACCTAAATGGAAGGGTGCCAAGAATGTTCAGAGGAACAGAAGAGATGCATAAACCACTTTATTTGTGTTCCTCTGGGCAACAAGAACCCAGAGGAGAAGCTGTATATACAACACAACATTTGTAGCCAACTAACATATGGCTCTTTGTTATTATTTCTGAAAACCAATAAGCAAAGGGAGAACGAGCTTTGCTCTCGATTTTTGTAGCAAACTTCAAAAATTCCCCATCCCAACGCAAAAGAAGGCTTAACTGGAGCTTTGTGCTAACGGCCCTATCTCCCCTGAGCCTCCCTTCCTCTCCCCATCTCCGAAGCCTCATTTCCGGGAGGTCATTTTAATTAGCAGGCTGTCACGGTGACTCAGCCTGCCTGCTTCACGGACAGGAAGGGAGCAGACTCCTCTGGACCTATTCATCATACAAAGGCACTTTACTCTTTAGAAAAATGTACAATATTTAGTTCCCCCCACCCCTTGGGAACTGCTACTGCTGCGGTTTTATTTTATCAGCCCTCTGCTTGGCGGCGGGCGGGAGTGGGGAGGGTGCGGGGGTGTGGCATTCTCCTGTCTTCCGCGTCTTCCTCACCTGGCAGTCAGCCTTCCCCCACTGCAGAGCATCCATACCCACCTCTTCAGGGTTTGGTCCCTGGCGCCAGGATCTGGAGATCTGAACCACGATGGACCTCTTGGAATGAGTGACCAAAACCTTTTGTCTTTGGAGCTAAAGCTTCAATTCAACTACCCAGGTCATTGAGGGAATGCATGCAGCTCAGAGACACAGTGACAGTGTGCCTCCGACCACTGTGATTTCAAAAATTCTGTCCGATTGTTCCTAACAGCACGTTTGTCTTTGGGTTGCAGGTGTCACTGATGTTGTTTTGGATCAGCAAGTATGGACGGTGCATTTCTAGAACTGTGAACGACCATCACCTAGTCTAGAAGGCAACTGCCTATGGTAGCTATACAATGTTGGAAGGTAATGGGACTCCAAAAACACTGACCTGAGATGTGTCAAACCTCTTGAAAGGGACATGTAGCTTGTCCTCTTCCTGTGAGGACCTCTGTGCTGTGGGAAATGGCATCTGTACTCGCTTGGTTTGAGCCTCCTATTTTGTTCCTGAGCCTTAAGCTGAAGTCCCACAATTGATTTGCCATTGGTAAAAGGGAAAATTGATGGTGAGGTTTCTCCTTTTTTCCTTCCCTTTCACTAGCTTACTCATTATCCTGCACCCTTGATCTTGGAAACTAGAGAAGGGTAATTAATTGCATGCTCCTGTCTCCACAAGACCTCCCTGGACTCCATGTCCTTAAAAAGAGTTTGAAGGGTCTTTGTGGTTCACAGAGCTCTTCTTGTCCCCTTTGCCGTTGGGGTGGTTGCTGGCTGGGCCCCGCAGGAGTGGGTGCTTGTAAGGTGGGGGCTTTTCCTTCCTGCAAAGGAGGGATAACAGAAAGAGAAAAGAAAGACAGCACATATATACAGCAGATTGAAATCATTTCTGTGCATGTGTATCTCCCCCACTGGACTGCAACAGTCCAGGAGCAGTGGCCTTGTCTTCCTCTTCTCTGTGTCCCAGGAGCCCAGGCCAGAGCCTGGTCCAAAGCAGGCATCATGGCTCAATGAATGACTGGTAGTTGGATGGATGGATACTCTGTATCATTCTGCTTCTGGAAAAAAACCTGACTGACTACAGCTCCAACTCTTCCACATTTCCACCTTGATTCTAACCCATCCTCTCCAGTTCATAATGGGATGGGGATGGACACACAGAAGATCCATGTCCTGGATGAGCTTGGGACCCCATTCTCTTCATAACCATCACAGGCTCCAGACTTGCCCTTATGTTCCTCAGAATAGCCTAAGTATGGCATTTCACAGGGGTCTGTCTCTGCCACGAGCTTGGGTGACCTTGGAAGGTGGAAGTATGTCTGGCTCGTCTCTGAGTCATAGCACCTAGCACCCAATGCCACACCCTAACGCTATTCTTCAATAATTGTCCTCTGTCTGTCTGGCTCACACACTACACTATGAGCTCCTTGTGGACAGGGACCAAGTTTTGTCCATTTTTTGCATTTTCCCTCATAAAGGGCCTTGTTCATTTATTACGTTGTGCCATTCATTCATGTGTTGGACCAAGATTCATTTGCAGTGGGAAGAGTAGGTTTTAGAGCCAGAAAGAACTCACCTGAATTTCTAGATTGGCTATGATGAAGGGTGTGATCTTGGGAAAGTTATTTAACTTTTCTGGGCCTTATTTGTAAAATGGGAATAAAACATTCTAATCTTGGGGCGCCTGGGTGGCTCAGTGGGTTAAGCCGCTGCCTTCGGCTCAGGTCATGATCTCAGGGTCCTGGGATCGAGCCCCGCATCGGGCTCTCTGCTTGGCGGGGAGCCTGCTTCCCTCCCTCTCTCTGCCTGCCTCTCTGTCTACTTGTGATCTCTCTCTGTCAAATAAATAAATAAAATCTTAAAAAAAAAATAAAATAAAACATTCTAATCTTGCAGAGGTGTTGTGAGGTTAAATGAAATAATATGAGTAAATGCCCTTAATGTCCTCCCTTGTCTGCTGTGACTTACAAAGGCATGGTGCTAGATGTTTAGTGGTCCCATGGTCCCTGGACATGACAAAGATGAGTCAGACATTGATGCTTACAGGCTGCTTACAATTTAGCAGAGGACACAATTGCACACAATGACTACACAAAATAATAAAGAATTACAAAGCATGATAGAAAGTGGCAAACACCATAAATACAGAAGCTCTCTTGGGCTTTTTGAATTAGGACTAAAGAAACAACTTCCTATAACCCATCATGCTCTGACCTTGGAGTACCCATTTTCCTTCATTGTTGATGAGTCATGAATGAGGTGAAGATGTAACAGGTGGCGGCACACAAAAGGGACACATTGCCTTAACATATCTCCCCCACCAGGAGGCCTCCCTGCCTGGAATGCCAACCTTGCTGAGGGACCTGGCTAACACAGCAAGGCTGTCTGGCATGGGTGAGATACATCTAGACCTTGGTACCCAAAGACACCCTAGAGCACACAAGAGCCCGTGTCCTTCCTGCCTCATTAGCCCTCATAAATGGGGGTTGGGGGTGAGCTTTGCAAAGGGTGCCATTCATATGTCATTGAGGGGTGTGGTTCTTAACACCCACAGGGAGCATGGGAAATCAGTTGGCTATGTTTTCATGGGGGTAAAGGAAGGCATACTTCCCCTAGAGAGGCAATCTCAGGTACAAGCACAGGTGGGGGCAGCCCCAGATAGATGGGGGTATGGCAGAAGGTATACAGTGGACAGGGGGCGTGTGAATGTGTAGACACATTGGCAAAGAGCCTCTGTAACTAAAGATGGGGGCAAAGAGAGAGAATGCACCAGAAGGCAAATATCCCATACATCTGGGCTCTGTTCCTCTTCCTATGATGCCTTCCTCCACCTCTCCAGGCTCACTTGAGAAGCAGACTTCCCAGAAAATAAGCTTCTCCCTTCTCAAGACCTCCACAGTACTTTGTACCTTGCCCTCAGCAAACCATTTCTAGGTAGTTCTTTGTCTATTTGTTTTTCTCATGAGAATGTGAATTTAACACATTTGATTTTTCTCTGTAATTCCTGAGCGAAATTCACGCCTGGCATGGAGTAAGTGCTTGAGGAGTGATTGATGGATAGAAATGAACTTTCGTTCTTGTCTTTACTGTCTCCATTGCTCTAAACATCCTGGTCTTGTTATTGCCGGGGACTGCCATTTCAGGCTCCGCTTCCTGCCTTACACCTTACCCCCAACATGGAACATCCTCTGTCCTTTTTCTGTTTCATCCAGCTAAGTTCTACATGTTTTTTAAAATCAAGCTCAAATGCCACTTCCTCCCTGAAGCCTTCTTGGGATACTCCTGCTGGCTGCCAAATGCTGGCCAGGTGGTGTGGGAGGGGAATTTCTGGTTGTGTCTTGCTTTTCCGTTCGAAAACATGAAGGGGTTGAAGTCAAGAATTCTTAGGGACTCCTTCAGTTCTATCACTCTATAATTCATACATTCAGGGCTTATTCAGGATTTACTCCCTGCTAGGCACTGTGCACCAAAGATCCAGGAGAGACCCAAGAGAGCTTCTTAAGGAGCGACCGGTCTAGTGGAGAGGCTGGATGTGCAAAGAGGCCTTGACAATACTGTATGGGACATACAGTGCCACAGGTGTGTGCAAAATGCAGTTAGGAATCCAGCAGAGAGGAAGCAGCTCTATCTCAGGCGGAGAACAGAGACAGTGAAGCAGAGAGGTGTGATGTTTAGACCGGGCTTTGAAAATCATGTAGGAATTCACCGTCTAGAGACAAAATGGGAGAACATCCCAGGAAGAGAAAAAAAGAATGAACAAAGACATAGAGGCATGAAAATAGACTTGTTCAGTCGGCTGCATAAGGTATAAAACTGTAGAAAGCAGACAGGGTGGAGAGTGTGCTCACAGGCAAAGGGGTGGGCTGAGAAATGACGTTCAAGATATAGGCCAGAACTCTGAATATCAAGAAAAGGAGCTGGAACGTTACCTTGAAGGTAATAGGCAGCCATGGAAGGTTTTTGAGAGAGAGTACAATCTGGTATGTAGCTGAGCACTTGCATACATTGTTTGGTATTGTTTCTTGTCTTTGCAAGAATTCATGCCTTTCTCCTCTGTGTTCTGGGCTCCCGACGGGCAGGGGCTCTCTATGTCCGCCAGCACCCAGTGCATGGCTTGGCACATGGTGGGCTCCAGAGTGTTGAGCAGATGGTCATTCCCATCCTCCACCACACACATCACAGCCCCACCATGGAGCCTGCCCTCCCAGCCCATGGCTGAGCCTGAGTCCACTTCACACTCAGAGACCAGCCCACCTTCCATGCTCACGCTCTATTTCCTCACAGAAGCTCACCTCGCCTATTCATTTATCCTAATTTTCATCTACCTTGATGGGACCTTTTGAACTTTAGCCCTGTGGCTATGTCACTGTGGTCTAGATAAGTGTGGGGTCTCAGCTTTGGACATCAACACCAGGTCCCTGAACCTATGTTCTTGGGCCCACATTGCTGGCCCTCCCCAGGGACCCTCTCTGAAGGGCAGCCTGGTACCCAACAGGCTCCCACCAGCACCTGAGTGGAAACTGACATATTATAATTATCCACAAAGATGAAAGAAAGCAAAGATTAATTTAGAGTCAAAACATGTAATTTTCCTTTAAAACCAGAACTACTCTTTCACTTATGTTATTTGATGCTTGGGTGGAAAATAATACAAACAAAGGGGATGTATTCAAGTCCTAAATCAGAGCCTTGCGTCCTCCTGGGAATTCATTTTTCAAGAGTTGCTGACCAGCTGAGAGCTAAGTGATATTCGTAGTTGGGTGAGACAGAGGTGTGGGGATGGAGAGGGAGTTTGTTTGGTTTTTCTTAATTTAAGGGTGGGTGCATTTATCTCAAGTCCTCAAGGCTGTGTGCTTTGAGGAATGAGCTCTCCAGCTCTTTTCTAAAGAGGCTCTGAAGGGCGATGAGGCACCACGAACAGTAGCACTGGGGGCCCTGAGAGCTCCCTGCAGCCTTTCCACCCAGCTTCAGGGTCCTGCCTCCTGCCCATCTAGAGGAACTCTGCTCATTCATGCTTGGGCTTAGTCCTGGCTGCGACCAGTGCTGTGTGTTCCCTGGGCCTCGACTTCCTCATCCGTGTTGGGAAGAGGGGCCCGCGCCATTGCTAGTCTCCCTGAGTGTCTGCACCATTTCACTGAAAGTCCAACAAGCTAGGAAAAAGTCTGAAGGATCAAGATAGTTTTATTCAGGCTAACAGAGGACCTGAGAGAGACAATCCCCAAATTAACTTGTAAATGAGATTCTAAGAATGCTTTTGAGCATTATAAAGCTTTAAATTTTTAAGAACTTGAACCAATCAAGAATGACTTCTAAGAATGAACTGAGCCCTTCTCTAGGAGTGAGCTCCTCAAAGGCAGGGCCATGCCCTAATCACTTACTCAGCCTAGCAGGAGCACCTCCCTCCCTCCAGGGGCCTGGCTTGAAGTGCTGATTTTCCTAAATGGAGAAAGGGAGGGAGGGAGGGAGGGAGGGAGGGATGGATACAGGTATGTATGCTCAGTACAGTCTAGGCACTTGGGAGCAGAGAAGAAGCCGACATGATCCTCCTTGAAGGTGTTTTTAATCCACCCAGAATGGGGGAGGGTGGGCACAAAGACCCCGCATGATGAGTCAGAATATATTATTTTGCAGGCTCTGTGGAGACTTGGGCCTCACAGCATGGTGGAAAGAGGTCCTGAGAGATCATCCAGCCCAGTCAGAGAAGTCCAGGGATTTGCCCCAGACCACAATGAGCTGGTTGGAAATCTGGGATTGCAGCCCAGAAACCAGAGGAGATGGAAACTTTATTGAGCACCTACTGACTGCCAGGCACTATACCCAGCTTGTATCTAATCTTTAAAATCTTTAGAGGTTTTAGTTATTATGCCCACTTTGTAGGTAAGTAAAGAAAGTTTCAAGAGGCCAATAAACTTGCCCAAGATCCCACAGTTAGCATGAGACTGAGACAGAATTTGAAACCAGACTGATAGAGAGAAAGGCTTCCTGCTTAAGATGGAGCTTAGCTGGACTTCAGTCTAGTTTTGGAATAAAACAAACCTAGGATCAAATCCTGCCTCTGTCAAAATCTCTTTGACAGGCAATTCTTTTCACCTTTCTGAGCTTCCTTTACCTCATTTGTAATGGGGGGGTATAATATCTATGAGGAATAAATAAGACCATGTACAAAAAGTACTTTGCTCAGTAAGTAACAGTGATTAATAGTGTCTTTGTTAATAACAGGGTATGGAGGAAGGTGCATTAGTGCAAAGGCCCTGAGGCAGCAAAGCACATGGGCAAGTTCATGGGCAAGGTCAATGGGAAGAATGGTCTGGCAGAAGGAAGTTGGACATCATTACGTCCTTTAGGGAGGCTGGATCACTAGAGAGTAGGCAATGAGGCCAAGAGTTAGGGCAGGGCTAGCATACTCTAGGTGCCATTGGAAGTCACTGTCCAAATGCTCGCTGGGCTTACTTCCAGGAGGCATGGGAATGCACAGCACTTTGGTCTCTGGTCTAGCCCTCTGAAAGGATACTCATTCCCTGACCTTCTCTCTTTAGTGACCCAAAAAGCTGATTCCAACAGAAGACGTGATGTGAAATTTCTTAGGGTTGTGTCCTCCCCAGCCCTGAACCTTCACGTCTTGAGGGAAGGGGACTCTCCTGCCTTTGTGGATACATGTATGCCTAACAATGTGCAGGGTGCTTTAACACACATCTCATGATAACTTTCTAGGTGAGTGCCATTGTCCCCACTTTACAGACGAGAAAATGGAGGGATCAGAAATCTTATGAGCCTGGATGAAGTAGGAATCCTAGTGGATGAGCTACCAGATGAAGTAGCATATGGAGACACCCAGAATAACTTGACTGCACTCATCTCCAGCACCTCCCATCCCTATGGACTCCCATGGGAGACCCAGAAATGTGACCGCTGCCATACTGTCTGATGCTGCGATGATACTTTATAGTCACGAAACATGCTGTTGCGCTCTTCTGCCCCATCCACTGGCGGGCAGGACAGGGATTTTCTTTCCCCCACCACAGATGGGAAACTGAGGGCCAGAGAGAAGCCGCTGGAAGCTGTCCCTGAACACAAAGCCAGTTAAGTAGGACCCAAACCATATGGCTCTGCTCTGTCACTTACCGAAGCCTTGGCATGGGAATTGCCACTTTCTCGACCAGGGGGTTCAGCCGATAATAATCCAAAAACGTTCTTGCCACGTTCCTTCCCAGCTTCATATCTGCAAGCACATGTGTCAAGGAGCAACTTTGGAAGGAAATGGGGACAGAACGAAAAGAGGGCCAGTAATAACAACAGCCGTAACAGAGACAGTGACACCATTCATCCTTCTAAGCTTTTTGTAGGTCCTGTCTTTTTTGACCTTCACAGAATGTTAGATACTATTATTTTCCTCATTTTAGAGATGAGCAAATTGAGGTGCTGAGAAGCTAAATAATTTGCCCAGGGTCACAGGACTAGGAAGGAGAGGAATCAGGTTATGGGTCTGGGTACTCTTACCTCAAAGCTATGTTCATAGCTTCTAGAATACACTGTGTCCCTTTGGGAATCACTGGGCTTCCACAATCTGGCTTCAGGCAGCTCAGGGTGGAAACAGATAAGCAAGACCCAAGGTCAAGAGACCCTTTGTTGTGTGTAGACTAGGGTCTGTTTGACTCTTTGGGAACAGTCATCTATTTTGGTAATCCCAGAGGGGACAATAGTAAAATCCTCTCACCAGCGTCCCTGTTCTACCTTGAAATCTACCGATCATGAATCCTTAGGGCAAGGATTCTTGACCTGTTAAAGTACGAACTCCCCAGAGAAGGAGAAAGGGCCAGTTTTCTGTATCAACCATTGGCACTTTAGTATGAATTGGCAGACCAATCATCTATTCAACAACAGAGAGTACTTGCTCTGTGCATTATAGCTGACATCTCTGGGCCTTCACATGAGCTATCCTCTCCGTTTGAAGTGCCTTCCCACCTCCCTTGGCTAATTTTTGCTCATCAGTTCTCCAGTTAGGTGATACCCTTTTAGCAAAGCCTTCCATGATACTCCTCTCCCCAGGGATGTGATGGGTGCTCTGGTTCTATGCTTCCATGACTTCTAAACTGACTTCATTGAAAGCCTTTCTCTCTTCTCTCCTATCCCTCAGCTCTGAACATCCGAACTGTCACTGTTGAGGAACCTCCTCATTCTTGAGTTTGCCCACATCACTCCCCTGTTGTCACTCTAGGAAAGGCCAGCATCACCTGTCCCCTCGATTACTGTCATCCTCCTAATGGGTCTCCCTGCCACAGACTTTCCTGCCTCAACTCCATTTCCTACAACAGTCAGAGGGATGCTATAAAATGCAGAGCTAACCCCTGCATCCAACTGAGTAAAACTCCCAAGTGGCTCCCAGTTGCCTTTAAAGTTCAAATTTTGGAACTTGATTTCCAAGGTCCTTCCTCGCTGGGCCCCTGCTTGTTTTCTTAGTTTTGTGCTTGTGGTCTCCCCCTTTTCACTGCCCTTGGTCTTCACACTCCAGCAACTGAACCTCTTTTGCCTCCGGGCCTTTGCCCACACCCTCCCACCTTTCCAGGTCATGCTTCCTCCCTGAGCATGTCTTATGGGGCTGACTTCTTCTTCTCTGTCCCCAGACACCTCAGTTTCATTGTCACATCAGGAGATAGGTCTCAGCCACCACTCCATCCAGGGTCACAGAACTGGACTTGCGCTTGTGGAATGGTCAAAGGAGTTCTCACCACTGTCTTCAAGACTGCCCCGAGCTGGGGCTGGACATGGCTCAGGACACGGAGATGAGCATCTATGGAGCATCTCCTATGTTCCTGGCGTGGCATGGCACCGGTACTTTACTTTGTATACATTTGTATGCAAAATATACAAAGTATATAAATGTACAAATGTATACATTTATATACAAATGTATACTTCGTATACATTTCAAACAATCCAGTGAGGAAGGCATTTTAATCTCCTTTTGGCTTGGGGAGACTGAGGAATTTATCCCAGGCTGCCTAGCCGGCAAAGGTAGAGCTGGGACTCCAACTCAGGAACGTCTGACTCCAGAGCAGTGACTGTTCCACCACTCTGGGCTGTTTCTCAACACGAAGGCACCTTTTCTGTCAAAGGCTGAGTCATCCCAGGCCAGTGCCTCGTGGGAGAAGGAAAAACACCAGACAAGTTGTTTATGACAGTGAGACGCGCTGCAGGCTCACCGTGCTCTCCAGCTGCCACCTGCTTTCTTCTTCTGGATGTGACCGACCTTCCCTGTCCTCCTCCTTAAAAAGTTCACAGGCTGGCACTGGGCATGGCCTCTCCGCCCAGCAGACCCTGGTCTGCGCTTTCACCCAGCCAGGCTCCAGTCAGCTCAGGGAAACCGCATCACCATTGTGTGTGCTCACAGTAAGAGTGACGGGGCCACACAGAAAAGGACAGATCCCCTCGACTGGCTCAAAAGGCATGGCAGAAGTTTTGGAATCCTGGCCCTGCCACGTTTTATGTATGGCACCTTGTATTTTCCAAAAATGTCTCCCATGTTCTTCTAGGATATGACCTTGACCACCCTTCTATGGGGAGCTGTGGTCCCTATCTCCTCCCCTTGAATCTGGGTGGGCTTGTGACTCACTTGTAACTACAAGAATGGCAGAACTGGTCAGAGGGACCTGGCGGGACTTCCGAGGCAAGGTCAGCAAAGGAGTTGTCACTTGCCCTTCGATTGCTAGAATACTCCAGCTGGGGTCCTGCAGCTCCATGAAAGCAGTCTAGCTGCCCTGAGGCCACCCTGCCAGGGGGAAGCCCAGAGGGGCCCATGGAGGGGCTGCAGGTGGAGGCCCAGCCACTATGTGGAGACGCGAGGAAGGAGAGACTCCCTCCAGCCCACGGCACGTCCACCAATCTCTGAAAGTCCCATAAGCTGGAACTGTCATCTTCTGCATATTCTTATGGGGCTCACTGATCTGTTTCTCACGGAGGGCAGGAACAGACAGCAGAGGGGATCAGAACCCCCGAATCAGAGAAGCAGGGGAGCGTGTCCAGGATGGGGTGAAACCCAGACTGATTTGGCCACTTCTGCTCAGAGCTGTTTGAACTAAAGGGCGGGTGTCAGGAGTTCTAGTACTTCCTGGGACACTTCAACAGGTAAGGAAGGTTTGGGCACATGCTGTTCATTCTCTCTCACTCGTTCATTCATTCATTTACTCACTCCATTCATTTATTCATTCATTCATTCATTCAAACATTCCCTGGGCTCCTCCCATGTGTATACTGGGAGGCACAGTGACAGGAATTGGGGTTAGAGACAGAGAAATTAGAAAAGGACAGTTGACAGTGTAGAGGAGGAAGCTAGCATGTCCCAACTATGTCACCAGACAGGCGGCTGCACTGGTCACCTTCACAAAAGCAACTCTTTATTTTTGAGCTTACCCCGAGCACCGCACAGTGTAGTTACTCTTGCCAGTCCCCAACATAACCCTGCAAAAGCAAAGTACAATTCCACATGTATTTTGCAGAAGAGGAAACTGTAAAGAGGAAAACTTGCATAAATGACCTGGAGCCCTGTAGCTTGAAAGTGATGGAGGTAACTTGGGAATGGAGTGTCTTTTACCACTGTGCATATGATTTCTCCTCTCTGGATTGTGATCATACATGTAAACTCTAAGCTCTGTGGATGTGTCAGAGGTTGAATTCCTACTGGGGAATTGTAAAAGGCTTCATGGAAGTGGATGTATAACAAAGATGTGAAGGTCAAGGACCAATCACAAAGGGGAGGAAGAGAGAGATGACATCAGTGGAAGCATGGAGTGGGGTGGGGACATATGACCCTGGGTCATAAATGAGATTGAGAAGGGCCCATGGGCCCAGGCCACCTCAGGATAGCGTGAAAGTTGGGGCTGCACAGGTAGGCTGCAGACTGATCAGTGAAGGCTTTGAATGCCAAATTAAGGCATTAAACTTCTATTCTGTAGGCAATAAAAAATATTTGATGTGATTATCTATGGTGGTATTTGTCCACTCAATATACATTTGTTGATCATCTGTTATGTTTAAGTTCTCTGGAAGGCTCAGGGTATACTGTGGTAAAATAATGATGATGATGATGATGATACAAAAAACTAACCAAGAAAATGGTTCTTAAGTCTAGAAGTGGAGACATATAACAAAGCAATAAAAACCTTCATGAATATATAATTGCAATTGAACTAGTTTAGGATGAAAGTGCACAGGATCTGTGAGAGAGGGTGATGGGGGTGCTGCTTCAGATAGGGCACGTGGGCAGGCCTCCCTGAGGAGAGACAGAGCCAAGGAAGGGCGGTGGGAAGGGTCCTTGCGTGTGAGAGAGGGTCGGAAAGGGGGCTGGCGTGGAGGCACAGGCAAGAGTGAGATCATGTGGAGCCTTATACTGGGTCATCTGAAGGAGTCTGGATTTTCTAAGTGAATGGAAAGCTGCTGAAGAATTTTAAGCAGGAAAATGAGACTGTCTGATTTATCATTTTAAAAGGTCATTGCTGTACTAAAAATAAGGAAGCAAGAGTAAAAGCAGGCATATTGGCCAGGAGACTACTGCAGGGGTCCCGGAGAGAGATGGGGGAGGGGGGTGGGATGGTCTGGACCAGGACAGAGGCAGTAGAGATGGGAAGATATGTCTTGGGGCAGGAACTGGCAGGTCAGCCGTGCGGCCTGAGGAGAGAAAGGAATGAAGGGCAACCTCTTGCATGTTTAGCCTGAGCAGCTGGGCACATGGGGTGCCATGATCGGGAATGCAGAAGTCTGGGGGTGGAGGCACAACACAGGGTGAGGGGAGAGACTAGGAGTTCATTTGGAGTTGGAGAGGACAATGAGACATTAAGCATCTAGGTCCTAAATCAGAAATAGGGAAAGAATCAGATCATGGAAATGGTTTCTGAGCTACCAGCCCTTTGGAATTACTCATGCCGCAGGTCTTGCGGACTGTATGGTATGTTCCACTCAGCACAGCTCTCCACCTCTTGCTCCCACTCTCAGAGAAGACCCATTCTTGAGTGCCCCAAGGTGGCTTGGGGAGTGGCAGTGACTGCAGGACCCTCTATTCTCTGGTCTTGGGGCCCGGGATCTGGTGCATTGAATGAGCACAATTCAGGGGGAATTCAAGAGACCAACCTGGTTTCAGCCAATAGTTTGCCATGTGACCTTGGCCGTTTCCCTTCTCTGAGCCTACCTTCTCTGTGGGTAAAAAGTAGAGTCCCTCAAGTCCTATCC